TCACGTTGGCTTGTGGGAACAGTTCTGGAGACGTCGTAAACCACACCTGAAAGTTGTTTTTCCCACTCTGAGTGTTTAACTAAGAGTCCACCTGCTGTTCCCGTTTCCCCTGCTGAGCTCAGATGGCATAGAAGGAGTGAATAATTTGCCCTCTTAGCACGTTCCCTTAGAAGGCAGATCTTCTTTGTTCTAGGATCCATGCAAAATCCAGAGCGAAAGGGGGGAAGATTGATTTAAATCAACTGCTGATGTGGCGTTCCTAGCTCTGCCTAGCCTAAGCCTCCTTCAGATCAATTTTGCCCCCTATGATGGTCTTTGTAATGAACCAAGGGGTTCTCTTTGAAGTAACCGAGACAGCAAACCTGTTCCTACCTTGGAATTCTGGCTGTTTCATTGCAGGGGCGCAATATGAGAAGAAGGAAAAAAGTAAATATCCAATTTATCAATATGTAACTCTCTGGAGTCTTTACTCAGTCGGATGCTCCAAACTTGAATTAAATTTGGGGAAATGGCCAGAGATAAGCCCTGGATGAATGTTGGTTCAATTTTCATTGTGATGCAAAGTTGGCTAATTCATCAAAAAGAAATTTGCACTTGTAAGATATAGCTTTTCAGTCCAAGGATGTAGGTAACATCGGATTCACGAGAAGAAGAGGCAAACGCTGATTTATTACTTAATTATAAATGTTAGTGGCAATTACTTGTGGGTGACTTAAAATAGGAAAAGTCACTTTCTCCTAATATCTCAGAGGGCTGTTGTGAAGGAAAATTGGAGGATGAGGTATTTTTCTTCCTTGGAGGAAAAATGGATTATAAATGTAATAAATAAATATTATAATCCATTCTGGACGAATAATGAACTGAAATGCAGTGACGATTTGAACCAGTCCTTTTAAAATTTGAAATGCAGATTTTCATTGGGAAAATACCGATCACAGGAGGCATGTTCATAAAAGAATCAACTAAATGAGGATCTTAGACTCCGCCTGGGATGAATATTCAGCTGAGTTTCATCTTTCTGCGAACTCCACCTAATTCATCTCTTCAGAGCCAAACCATGAACTAAAAACTCAATTAAAGTTTGAATCCACCCTTTTGAAATTTTAAATTGCAGATTTTCATCTGGAAGAGGTGGATAAAAATATGCACGTCCATGAAAGTAACATACAAAATGGCACCATATTGAGGAACGTATTTATCCGTAAAAGTGAAAGGAGGGACAGATCTTAGGAGCCTGGTGTAAGTAAGACACCCACAGTCCTTGTTATGAGAAAGTGCATCTATTAAGAGACGTGTGCATGAAAATGCATACAAATGAATCCTTAATGTGCAGTCGTTTGACCCACTGTTTTGTTCATTGGAGAAATCAGGCATCAGACTGGAACTGGTATTGAATTCTGGTGAAAAGTGGGGCAGGATTCAGGATTTCTTCATTCCCTCCCCCAAAGCGTGGGGATGACCTCATGCAAAATAGGCAGAAGAACTTACCCAAAAGGAGAAAGGCATTATTTTCCAAATAATAACCCATAAATAAATCCCATTTTAATCTCAACATGGCTGGATAGGAATTTATCCCAGAAAGCAATCGTGTGCTGCTCCTGACTCTATTAGCCATGTAACCTAAGTCTCCAGCAAAATTATGTATTTGCAATTAGCGAACAAATAAGTCTTTCGATAAAAGCCAGAGTGAAGGGGGGGGGGATTTTGAATAAAAAAAAGAAATATTTCTAATTGTCCTTCTGTAGCTCCCTTGTTCACTGATCCATTGAATAATGATAAAGGCATTAAATTTGGAGATTATGTGAGGAATTTCTAATGGGGCCAGACTGGCTGTGTGGCTTGTCTCATTAGAAAGGGCTGGTCCAATCAGCCGGCTGGATGAGCCGCCCCCCAATTGAATTAGTTCTGGTTAGATAGAGAAGCCTTCTCCAACTAGGTGCCCTTCAGATGTCTAGGGACTAATGGCTACACAAAAAAGGATTTGGACTTTTTTTTTATTTTCCTCAACTCTTTTGCATTTTGGTTTGATGGAAAAGAAGTTGCTTTCAACATTTCTTTGAAAGGAGATGCGGTGATCTTATTGTCACCAAGGTCAAGTCCTGGTCTTCAGAGATGGTTGGAGAAGGTCTTCTTCCTCTTGGAAAAATTAGGAGAATTGGTCCATCTGGTTTTTTTGGACTCAAGGAATCTCCCTTTGAAGCGTCCTTTCTGGTCATCTCTAGATGATTTAATTCTTCATGCTGGCGGAGAATTCTGGGAGTTGAAGTCCATACATCTTTGAGTTACCAAGGTTGGGAAACATCAGCCTAGCATCAGGAGTCCTAAACCATCAACTAGAAACTACACAGTGGATTCACCCAACATTTGGAGCCTAGCTGGTCAGATCTTAGCTTAGAACAAGGTGTCTATGCTTACTAACAGTGGTGTCCGGTCCAGTATCAGAAAGTGGACACCTCCAATAACTGTTGCCAGAAGAATTATGGGTTCCTTCCATTGATATCTGGCTGGTGGGACTTCCCACTGTGAAAAAGGGGAGACAAATTAAAAAGAAGGGTGGCTCAAATTGGTTTTTAGTGCTTTCTAGAATAGATTTGCTAGCACTGTGGGCTGAATGGACCTCAATAACTTGGAGAACGGTGATTCAATGTAGATATTAAAGCTTCTACTGAAAAGATGCTTTCCATCACTATGTTCTCAAAAACAAGGACCACTCTACTGAAACCCCTTTCAGCCTGGTCTCAGCCATCTGCTCCACCCACCCACCCATCCGCTTCACAAAATTCATAGCTCTTTTTTCATAGTTTCATACACTCCAGCCAAAACTTCTCGTGTGAGATCTATTGGCTCCATACTTATTTTCATTTAAAAACAGCTTATCCTTCTGAGCCTGGATTTGTTCATGCAGATAAAATTGAAATTGGTTTGCGGAGTTAGCCTCTGGATTTCAAGTGTTGACATCCTCTGTTTTTCCAGTTGTTTTATTGGGTTGACCGAGAAGAAGTGGGGTGGAAAGCAAGGGAAAAAAAAAAGCTTCTCTGAGGCTTATTGTGGGCAGCTGGTTAAATAGACTAACCTGAAAAAGGGAGGAGGAGGAGGAGGAGAGAGGAAAGGAAGGAAGGAGGAGAAAGAGCAGAGGAGAAAATGAAAGGAGGGACAGAGGGAAGAGGAGGACCCTTGCATTTGGTAGAGTAAATTTCTACTATCGTAGTGGGATATAATCAAAGAAAATCAGAATCCTCAATTCCAGACAGCAGCAGCTAAGAGAAGTTTTGCAAACTGATTTATTGCTGTACATAACTAACTGCTCAAGAGCTTGCAAATCGGAGCAGTCTATCTGATGCACTGACTTTTAGCACTAAGCTCTAAGCCATAACAGCTTTTTATTCATCCTAGGTTTACAGCAGCCATACAGTTACAGCCAGGGTCAGAGTCCTCCTAGGCGGGGCAACATTTCAACTCCTGTGATGGACAGCTGTCATACTGCTGGCTGTTTCTTGCTGTCCATCCTTCCCTCCCACCTACTTTTTTGCCCAGACCATAGTACCACCCATGGCTGGCTTTGCAAGCTTCCAAGACTGGGGACAAATGACCAGATTACTGAGGAATTGTAGCAGCCTGGCGGGAACGTGCCACTTAACCTGGAGATGTGAAAATGTTGACAACCCAGAAGTTCAAGAAGGGGGGGGGGGAAGCAAAGGCTGAACGGGCAGGGGGGAGGAGGGGAGGGCGAAGAATAAAGCCAAACAAAAGCAGGGAGCTGTTAACAAGTCAGGTAAATTAAACCGCAGCCTCCCTCCGCTAACAGCCCCACTTGTCAGCAGAGGCAGACGGATGTGAGCAATCAGAGCCGAGCATGGCCCAGGCCTTCCATCCCAGCTGCCCCTGGCCCTGCTTGGCAGGGGGAGGACAAGGGGCAGCCGGCCGGAGGAGGTGGGATGCTCCAAGGAAGGAGGAGAAAGACCTGCACTAGAGCAGCACAGTTGCTCCGAAAATGTCCCTCTCTTTGCAGCCTTCCTGTTTTCTCTTCTCTTCTCTCTGTTTGGGTTTCTTTCGGATTGTGACCCTTGGAGGAGAGGTGGGGGGAAAGTGGATAGTTGGAGTTGTTATTGTAAGCAGATCTGGGGAGGGAGATGCCACAGAATGAGGGTGTTATTGCAACTGGAGAGCAGTGCACACCTTCCTTCCTTCCTCGCTGCCTCCCTCCCTCCTTCATTCCTTGCTTGCTCCCTCCCTCAATTCTCTTTCCTTCCTTCCTTCCTTCTCTTCCCTTCCCTCCCTCCCTCCCTTCATTGGAAGTTTGGCATCCTCCAATATTTAGATTTGATGTTCAGATTGAAGCCATTTTCTAAACCCAGATGAGGAACATGGTGCCAATCCATTTAGTCTGAAAGCCCCAGACGCTTCTTTCCCTTGTTGTTTCCTCTCCTCCTCCTCCTCCTCCTCCTCCTCCTCCTTCTTCCTCTTCTTCTTCTTCTTCCTCTTTCTCTTCCTCTTCTCCTCCTCCTCTCCCCATTAGCTTCATGGGCTTGGGAACGCCTACAGAAAGAGAGTGGGGCAGAACAGTCCCAGCCCCCTGCACCTGGTTGTCTTCAACCAGACCAGCCGACAACATCAGTAAAATAGTTGCTGACTGGCAAGAAATCAATTTGTTCTAGAAGAAAAAGATTAAAAAGCCGGTGGAGTCCGGTGGCCGGTGGGAAACCGTCTCCTTTGTTTACCTTTTGATTTTTTTCCCACCGCTGAGGTGGGCTTCCCATTCGTTGGCTGGAACTTCAGCTGTATTTACAAACAAAAGCTGGGGGGGGGTGGCATCCACCTTTTGCAGATGCCAAGCCACTGCCCCCCCTCTCCTAGCATAAAGGATGGGAAACAGCTGGTGAGGCTTGTACCCACGGCGGAAGGCTTAGGACCGGCTCCATCTGTTTCTTTGACCATTCTTGCCCAAGCTGAATAAGGTTGCTTAATATTCACATGGTGGCCATCGAGGGCTACAAGATAAATGTTGGCAAAATGCAAGGAGGTTTAATAAAGAGGCTAAAAGAGCAACTGATGAAGAAGGAGGGAGCCAAACCTCTTAAATTACAAAATCAGACAATGCCTGTTTTAACAATCATGGCAAATTAGAAACCCAATCCTCTCTCTTTCTCTGGCTTTATACATTCTGGAGTATCTGCATATTTTTTCCCTGTTCTTTTCTGGGGTAAGAGAAATGTCAGAGTTACCCTATGCTAAATTTTCCCATCCATGTCTTTCTTTTTTTTTTTTAAAGGCAGGAGGAGCTGATTTTGTTTGAACGCTAATCTGCAATTTTTAATTTGATCGCTTCGAGGCCAAATGCCTTGGATGGGGTTAAGATTGCAGGAAGTGTAAAATTCCTGCTGGATTGGTGTCTGTGGCTGAGGGAGCCAAAGGTTTGCTAAATTAGATCAGACAGCTAAGTTTAACTTAAGGTTTGCTGTTTGGAGAAGAGAGAAGAATAGTGGAGCTGCTTAAACATTATCCAGAATTTTAAACATCAAACCACGCTATGTGGCTAAGTTGTTTCTCCAGTCTTACGGTCATTCCAGAAAAGCCGCGCTAATTATCCTCTCCTTCTCAATGGATATAATTTGATTATTTTTAAGGACTTGCAGAAATTTGGGGGGCGAATCTGGCACGGTTGCCGGAGAAGCTCCTGCCTTATTAAAAGCTAGCTTTTCTCTGCCCAAGCTAAGTCAGCCAAAGTAGAAGAGGAACACCCCGTGATTGTCCCAAATAATATTCTCTGTAAATCAAATCCTTTTACAAGCCATCAGCGTAATGTGCTTAAAAAAAAGAAAAAAGAATTAAAAGACGGGTTGTTCTGAGGATATCTCTGTGTGTTTCTTCCTTCATATTTCCCTAGATGGCTTGCCTGTAAGAGGACTATAAACTCAAGGGAATTGTTTAACAGACATTCACTGGGTCAGTGTATTAGAACAGACTCAAGTCTATCAGCCAGATGGTGACTTCAAAAAAGGAGGGGGGAGCTAGGGAGACCCTGACATGCCATTTCGAATGGATTTCACGCAAAACCTCCTGAGGGGAGCCAGTGGGAATCTGGCAATCAGATCTGTTGTGAATAAATATTACAAAATTACCAATTAGAAGAGGGGATGTTGAAAATGTTTGAGTGATTCTGAAACCTCTTTGTTCCTCGCCTTCCCTTTAGACGTTCATGCAGATCCCTCAATCATAGGGGAACAATCCCCAGATTATTATCTTTTTTTCCCAATAATGGGGCTGCTCGAATTGATTCCTGTAAAAGAGAGGAAGGGAAAGCATTTTTTTTACATTTTTAAATGTTCATTTAATGTATTTATTTTTACAAATTTTTTTTAAAAGGGAACGTTTCTTTAGAGCTTTCAAGCCTAGCTTTTCTCCAGCAAGCAAATGGTAATCACCAGGATGCTGATTTTGTTATTGTTAAAAAATATATTTATATCCTGTTTCTCATTAGTGTAAACATCACAGGTTATAGAACATAGAATAATATAATCCTTATTTGAAACCACTGGCTGCTTATAACTATTAGAGATGTCCTGAAGGGTACAGCCTGTCATCGATTTGAAGTTTTCCTAAAGGATGTATCATATAGAATAGAATAGAATAGAATAGAATAGAATAAGGAAGGAAGGAAGGAAGGAAGGAAGGAAGGAAGGAAGGAAGGAAGGAAGGAAGGAAGGAAGGAAGGAAGGACATGTTGACATTGTTCTTTCCATAGACCTCTGATCCTCCTCATGGCATCATGCTAGTTTCCAGAAAGAAGTTATTAGCCTGCCATGAAGAAATGTCTGGTTCAAAAACATCTGGGAAACACCTGTGCTCTTTCTCTAGCAAAGCTTTAAATAATCCCAACTGTCACTAGGAGTTCCTGGGCTCCAGGGGTGCCTTGACGCTGATCCTCACCAAAATAGACCATCACAATCATGATTGGCTCAGGTCACCCAAGTTCATGAGAATCCCTTGTTACAGCACTTCTCACCTTCTGAGCTTCTGGGTGACCTTTCCAAGCCACTCTCCTCTCTCTCGTAGCCTTAATGGACCCCTAGCCATGTTTCTGTCTCCCAACAAAGGGCATGAAATTGCATCTCCTCCCAAACTCAGGAGGGCTGTTAAGGGGAGAGGCAAATAACAACAAAGTACCAGTAGTAAGAACCAGAAGACAGGATACAAAATGTGGAGTTCAGCCATTCTTGGATTGGAGTCTGGAATGAAGCTTGAGGTCTACTGAAGCTCCTAAAATCGTCCTTCAGACCAGACCATTCCTGGTGAAGAAGGTCTTAAACAGTTTTGGAATCTTGCCTGAACATCGAGCTACTACAGGTGCTTAATTGTCTTTGTGTTGTATCAACAGCATCTTCTTCTGTTCTCCATGCTCATTCCCAGATAAATTATTCAACACTGGAGCCATGCAAGCCTGTGGTAATCTCCAGGGTGCTGACTTTATTATTGTTAAAATTATATTTATATCCTGCTTCTCATTAGTGTAAAGTTTAGAGAAACCTCAATGTGAAGCTGCGTACATAGTGAGCAGTTCATTAAAAATTATAATCACCATCAAGGTTGGCCAACTGTCCTTGCTTTGGTTGTTTAGCATACAGCAGTTAGAAAAAATAGAATGCAAGATCCTAACTCTAACTCTAAATACACAACTGCAGAATCAACAGAAAAACTGTATGCTGCAAAATAAGTTTTATAGTTTGTTTCAAATGCTGCTATCTCATACAGTACTTCAAAGTCCCCCAAACACAATGAAAGAAAGAAAGAAGGAAGGAAGGGAAGAAAGAAAAAAAGGAAGGAAGGAAGGAAGGAAGGAAGGAAGGAAGGAAGAAAGAAAGAAAGAAAGAAAGAAAGAAAGAAAGAAAGAAAGAAAGAAAGAAAGAAAGAAAGAAAGAAAGAAAGAAGAGGTTGGACTAGAAGACTTCCAAGGTCCCTTCCAACTGTTATTCTGTCACTCATTCAATAATAGTTGAATGAATGAATGAAGTTTATATGTTGATCCAATTGTTGACCAGCTCTTATTAGTTTACAATCCATGTGTAAACAAGATTAAACAACTTAAGATATGTAGAAAATATAACTTTCCATAAATTTAATATAATAGTGGTAAACTTTTCCCATGCTGGAGAAGCATAAAAATGCAGAGTACCAAAAGAATCTCTCCTAATTAATTTGATTACCCAAAGCTGAAGGCATGACCCCCTATAAAGTCTTAAATACCTTTCCCATTACTTAGTGAGTTGTGATATTTGAGCTCCATCATCAATCTTACCAGACAAGCCTTAGAACCCGGGAGCTTTCAACAGCTTCTTAAATTCAAGAAGTTCCCTCCCATCTCCAAAGGTCTCTTAAGGCCACCATCGTTTCCTCTGTAGATCCTCTTAAGCCACCCTTCAGATGCTGGGCAGATCCATTAATCCAGCACACCATCTCCATGGTAAAAGGGTTCAGTAAATAGAGGTTGGAGGACATTAAATTGACTTCTCTGGTCATTAATCCCAGGAGTCTCTTGAGATGGGAGAGAGGGAAACTAGGAGGCCTTGCGATTCTCTTCATACCTCTAACCATTTTCGAGAAGGCTGAGAAAATATGCATGAAAAGAGGGAAAAGAATAGGTCTGGGGTGGGGGGAGAGAGAGAGAGAGAGAGAGAGTACCTCATCTCTAGGAAATAACTCCTTCCACCTATTTTATTAAAATTCACTTCAGAAATTCAGCTGTCCAATCTCTTGATGGCTTCCATTGGTAACCCCTTCCCATCGTAATGGTCTGGATCAAGCTTGTAACAGAATAACAGTATAACAGAGTTGGAAGGCACCTTGGAGGTCATCTAGCCCAACCCCCTGCTCAAGCAGGAGACCGTGTACTGCTCCAGACAAATGGCTGTCCAACCTCTTCTTCTTAAAAACCTCCAGCTATGGAGCACCCACAGCTTCTGGAGGCAAGCTGTTCCACTGATTAATTATTCTCACTGTCGGGAAGTTTCTCCTTAGTTCCAGGTTGCTTCTCTCCTTGATCAGTTTCTATATATTGCTTCTTGTACTACCTTCAGATGCTTTGGAGAAAAGAGTGACCCCCTCTTTATTTGTGGCAGCCCGTCAAATATTGGGACACTGCTATGGGACTTTTTCCTTTAAACACAGCAGGTTGCGTTGCTCGTCCTAGCCCCTTGTAAAGCCATCTGAAGTCATGGCCACCACTTTACCTGGTGAGGCAAGTCCACAGGTTCATGACCAGTTGTGTAACGAAAGACATCTTTTGACCAGCCACATTTAGCCCAGACTCAACCTCATGAATTTACTTGAATTTGAGATGAGTTCCTCCTGGAAATTGACAAATAATTAAATTCATCTTTTTTTTTTTCTTGGAGGACAGGGACCAATCTACATATCACAATATGATACAGAGCAATGCTTCAGTGAGGAGAAATTGGTGTCCTTCTAAGCTAGTGTTTCTCTCTGGAAATGTTCAAAGGTGACACATGAATTCTGTAGCTCAGCTCTTGATTCCTACAGATCTACCAAGTATGATGTTAAAAAAAAAGATTATAATTTTTAATTTTGTGGGCAGTATATGATTAGCTGCTGATCGGAAACAGAACTGACACCCATTTTCAGCACCCTTTGTCTAGTTCCTCTCTAAAGATCTGAATATTTGTAAAGAATGGGATGACACTCTTTACAGATCATTCCCGAGCCAAATCAGATAAGAATAATTATCCTCTCTTGGGATATTAAACAGCTCCTCACCAGGACCGGCAGCTGACAGCTGTTTTATTGGCAGAGTTTAGAAACCAAGAATTAATTGTTCATGAATCTTGGTATCTCCAGAAAGAAGAGCAGAGAGAGCCATTGCCTTGGAGATCCATTGTGACTTGACAACTGGTGAATAATTTCTCCAGACAGTCTTCCAAAGCTCAGTTACCCAGCTTTGAACCAGCAAAGGACATACTGGAGATCAAATATCGCTTTTCCAATGAAGGACAAAATTGTAAATGTTGAGACTTGAGTGAAATTCACAAACTGGGGTGGGGTAGGAACAGATAAATGAATTGCAAGGTTGTGTAATTAACTCAATCAACAGACTTAGCCTTTATGTGTGTGGACACAGAGAAAAAATGCTTTAGGGAAAGCAAAAAGGGAATGCTAAAAAACAAAAACTCACAAGGGCAAGAAAAGAAAAAAAGGTTGAAAAAAAATAGAAAAAAGAAAGATAGAGGCTTCTGATTTTTTTCATAACAGTTGTAAATATAAATACACATTTTAATTTCTGCTTCTCTAGAGTTACATCTAATTATTCTTGTTTCTATAATTATCCTGTCCAATCACCAAGACCATAAATTGCACATTCATTTTTTTATTGTTACACAAAAAATTCCATAAGAGGCTTCCAGTCACCCATATATATCAATAACATCTCAAAGTCCAACATTTTTCAGAAACTTCCTGATATAAGAAACTTCATATTATAAAATAATGGTAGTTTCATTTAACTTTACAAAGTTAATACAAAGGTGAAGAGTTAGCCTGATTTCTAAGGCCATGTATTTGACTTCAAAAAGCAGAAGACAAATTGGCAGGATGCTAAAGACATGAAGGAGGAGCCCACAAGAAGAGTCAAAAGACCCCCTAAAAAGCTGTTTCTGAAAGAACATCCCAGTGAAAGGATGCCTTTTGGGTCCCAAAGACCCACAACTCACTGCTTACCTGAACAACAAGCAGCAATAAAGTACACAGTTAACCTGTTCTTCTGAATGCATCCCCAAGGAATAAGTTTTTGCCTGGAGAAGTTTAAGCTCTTTAGCAGGTCTCTGAGCTAAGGGAAGTGAAAGGCCATAGAGTTCAACCTGTTTTAGGATTACGCGTGTTTTCTCCTTCCTTTTGGCCAGAAGAAGTGGATCTCCTTCCCCCTCCTTTCCCACAACTGCAGATTGTCAAGAGTTCAGTCTTGTGGCCCTGATCTGCCAGGTGACACCACACGATGAGATCGGCGCGGCTGCATGTCACAAAAGGTTTGCAAAGGGACAGAGATGTGAGGTCCGGCAATTATGTGAATGCCAGCCGAGTATCATGGCGGACTCTCGTGGCATATCAGCAGGAAGCACGATAATGATGATGGATGGAGGAGAACCGGGAAGTAAGAAGATAGATCTTGATGCAGTTCTCCATTGATTGAGGGAGCAGAACTTCCGCGAGGGAGGAAGGAGGTGTCTGCTGGCTGCCGCATGGCCATAATTCAGAAAACCTGGTCTTTTTTCT